ATTTATTTCATAATCACATATCCATGGTGACAGACTAAGTGAAGGAAAAAAATAGTGTGAGAGTTGTTGAAGCAATTCAAGCAATTTACTGGCACAAAGAACTCTGTTATCAAGGTTGCAAATAAGTCATCAATTTCAGGCATGGAGGTGCACTGGAGTGTTTCTGGAATTTCTGCTTGCTCGGACAAGCAAGCTGCCTTCTCAAGAGTATGCCTTGAATCCATAATAGCTGCAGAAAATTTTAAAAGTAATGGAAGAATTGCTTATGCAATACATTTCTAAATCAACAGGGGACTATATTTTTGATGGTGCTAGAAGCTTGAGGCACAAGGCTGTTAGGGATGATGACTGCTGGCAGCCTGCACTCTCCCAGTTAGAGTGGCCCTGCTGGGTGCTGGGCACAGGGCGGAGAGGCCCTGTGATCAGTCAGCTCACTGATGGCCCCATGAGTCCCAGTGCCTGCATTCTGGGGAACACAAGACATTGTTATCTATTTCCTCATTACAATAAAGTCTTTTCTCTCTGCTCCCAAGAGGAAAGGCATTTTATAGTTAAGCATCCTATGATTGATCTTGTTCTACTGGGTGACTCTGGGCAGGTTACTTAAACTCTCTGGGTCTTAGTTTACTCCTCCATGCACTGGTTGTTATAATAGTGTATTGTTCATAGGGTTTTTTTTTTTTTTTTTTGAGGAATGAATGAGATAATGTCTGTAAAGCACTTGGCACAGTGCCTGGCAGGCATTAAGGATGCAACAACCATAAAACCAGAAAAGTATTAGGGTTTTAAAATAAATAATCAGACATTTTTGAGGTCTTGAGGCCTGTTATACAAGATTCAAGACCATCCTGCTGGGTGAGGACATCTGCGTGCTCCCAGTTAGGTAATAGGGCAGGAGACAGAACTGGCCTGATGAACTGGTGTCACCATTTTGGCCTTAAAGCCTCAGGCCCCATTTCAAGGAGCAGCACATAATTCAGGTGCTACGGCCAGAGCAGTTTGTTCTCTGGACTCCCAAGAGAAGGAAGAGAGTGGCCAGTGGAGGGTGTGCTGATAAGAGGGCCCACGAGATTGTGTTCTAATCACAAAGATGGGCTTCTCTGTGTCACTGGAATCTGGGGAAGTCTTGGCAGGAGGTCTGGAGTCACCACTTGGTTTTGTCGACAGCTCCTTCCAAACAAGTGTGTGGCTTTGGGCACGTTCCCTGTCTCTCTAAATCTTAGTTCCCTCATCTATACAAAGGGAAAAATACATGAATTTCAGAGTTGTTTTAAGGATAAAATAATGGAATGTATATAAAACACCTGCTGCACGGTAACCACTTCGGAAATGATGGCAATTATGATCCTGTAAGTAAGTAAAGTATGGCCACTACAAAATGTGAACTACATTAGCGATAATTGACATTGTTTTGTGACAAAACAATTCTATGAGACCAAATTCTCCAAAAGAACGGCCAGATACAGTCAGAGCATTTGTTTTGCAACTTGGTAAATGGGTGAAGTCCCTTCTGGGAAACGGTTTATGGTTTGGATCAAACCCCTGACACTAGTCACAGGCCCCCCCATTGCCCTGGGAAGACTTGATCTGGGGGATAGTGAGGGGCAGGTGGAGTGTGCACGATGAGCAGACGTTCCCAGCCAGGGGAAGATCAGAAGTGAGCCTCCTTTGGACAGATCCCTATGTGTTATGAATGGCCATAAGTGTCAGGCTGTAAGGGGGTGCCACACACAGTTCCCAGGGAGGTGTGGCCCAGCCTCAGTGGTGTGCAGGGGGTTGGCCTATTTCTCCACTTGAGGCCTTTCTGCAGTAGGAAGCCATGTGAGGCAGTATTGGACCCTAGAACCCAGTCCAGGAGTTGCCCGGAGGAAATGGAGGTGGGAGAAGCAGGATAGCACCGTTGAGAAGTCAGAGAAGGCCGTGGCTGGTTCTCTCATCCC